GTGTAGGTGTGGGTGTGGGTGGGTGTAGGTGTGGGTGTGGGTGGGTGCGGGTGTGAGTGTGAGTGTGGGTGTGTGGGTGTGAGTGTGGGTGGGGTGTGGGTGTGGGTGTGCGGATGTGTGGGTGTGTGGGTGTGTGGGTGTGGGTGGGTGGGTGTGGGTGTTGTGGATACATGAATCGTAGCTAAAATTCACCCACCCACAGCTACACCCACCCACACACTCTATAGATCATGAAATATTTATTTTTTAAATTTCTTCGAAATTATACTTTTCTATTGAACACAGTTAAACATGCGTTTAAAAAGGAATATTTTTAGCTGATAGAGTAGCATAATATTATCGATCATATCAGTACCAACAAAATATTTCAGACTATAAATTAAAAATATGTCTTAAAAGCTTACATTTTATCACGTAAGTTGTTTCTCGTCTCAATGCTTCCCACTCTCATACTATCTTTTACATTGTTACATGTATCTTTCTTTTGTTCTTTTCTTCAAATTTATTTTCAAAACAAAAGGCGAACAGAACACTGATATAGAGGTGCTTGGAGAAGACGATTCTAAAAGAAATACCAGAATAATAGATGTAATGCCATGAAACAAAAAAAAGCATAGCTTATGCCACGAAAGATATCTTCTGATATAAGACACATTCCTTCTTTCTCTTTTGTTCCTCATATGTGTTGGCCATAGTTATTTAGTCAAAAATTTATATTCAAGATAGTTGTGCTTATTTTTTTGTAAAACTCAATTACAAATAATTAAAAAGATGTATGTATATTTTTTTTAAATAGTCGTGCATTTACCATAAAATACAGTTGGCATTTTTGATAAGTGATCAAATCTTATATTTTATTTTTGTATTCAGGGCTGGTGCGAAGAGATAAAAGCAGGGAGACATTGAAAATGGGAGAAAATGTGAAAGAAAATCTCGAATTGGTGCTTATTAAAATCTTAATAAATGAGTAACCGAAATAATTGTATCATTTATTTGTTCATATAGAAAAAATCTTCATGAAGACTTTTCTCACCAATGGACAGTCGTCGTTATATCTACTGATGACATACTTTTCCAGAAATAAATTGATATTTATATATTTACTCCAAAGAATATTACTATGTATTGATGAGGAGATAAAATTTATATATCAATATCCTGTTTTCTTATTGTTAGCTATTTGTTACTATAATCATTTAAGATGCATAAGAAGTGAAGCCATTTCTTATGTCAACAACGAAAAATAGACAAGCTATAGTATAATTCTACCAAAATCGTAGAGAATTTTTGCCAGATTTTCTCCCGAATTCGAAGAATTTTACATTAGTTTTCTTTCGAAATTAAGATTTTGACCAGATTCTCTCAAAATAACACGAATCTGTACAGTTAATTATATACATAAGATGAGAAAAGGAGGAAAATGAAGAATTAGGTTTTAAAAGTTAGACACAACTGGTCGCAACGAAAACAGGAGGAGAAATAATATATTAGTCATTAGAATCTTACATATTTTCATCCGTATCTACCGGGTGTACCAAAAGTTTTGTGATGTTTTTTATTTCGCATATATCTCGGTTTGAGAAAATGATAAAATCTTTATTTCCTTTTTAAAAGATGGACCGTGAAAAGCTCTACAAAAACTGTACACAGAAATCTCTATTAACTGATTCTCATAGTGCTTCCCATAGTCAATATGAACAATCGGCATGGTAATGCAATGTCCCGGAATATTGAGGATGGTTAAAATGTTTGGAAGACCTTTTTTGTTTTGCAATAGAGATTTGTTTATATAGTTTATGTGGAGCTTTTCACAGCGCATCTTTCAAAAAAAAATCAAGATGCTATCATTTTCTCAAGCCGAAATATATGCAAAACAAAAAAGGACTTCCAAACATTTTTATCATGCTGGAACGTTGTATTAGCATGCAGGTTGTTCATATTGAATATAGAAAGCACTATGAGAGCCAGTTAACAGGGATTTCTGTATACAGTTTTTGTAGAGTTTTTCACGGCGCATCTTTTAAATGGAAAATAAAGGTTTTATCATTTTCTCAAGCCACAATACATTCGAAATAAAATATATCACAAAAGTTTTGGTACATCTAGTATTACTTATTGGATTCTATCGTAGTTTTATATATATACGATTTGGACATAAATATGTTCGAATTCTTAATTGTCTCCTAATTGCTCATCCAACCATTCGACTTGATGTACCATTAAGATAATCATGAAGATGTTCAACATTCTTTCCATTGCACCATTTTTGTGCACAAAGATTTCTCACGAAATCCTTTTCTAATCATTTCCAATATTCATTTATTGATGAAATCTAAAATTAATTCAAATAAATCGATAAAATAAAAAAAAAAGAGAAAAGACAAACTTTTGGATAAGGAAAAGATTTTCGAAAATGATGAACTTGAAGTGATGCATTGCCATGTAGAAAAAAAAGAGCAAAAATAAAATTAAAACCTATTTTCTTTTAAAAATTATAGAAAATCGGTAAAACTTAATTAAAACGGGAAAAAATCGATTGAAACGGATGAGATTTCGAATTTTAATCGATTTTCATCCAATAAATCCATTAAAATCAATTTTTTCACGCGCGATCAAAATAATCGATTACAATCGTCCTTTTCTCGATTTTTTTTACATAGGAGTTTCTTCTTTTTTTGACGCAACTATGGAAATTGTTTAAGACTTCAAAGTTTCAAATTATCATAATAAAAGTTCACCTTTATTCCGATCTACAAGTAGTACAGAGACAGGCCTATCATCCAGGTATGTCAGTTTTACTTTCATAGCAAGAATGCATTAGAATTTCTGCCTTTTTTTTTCAGGAAAAAAATGAAATATAATACGATTCAAGACTAATTTTTTGACTGAAATTAGGCAAAAAGTCCTTTTCAGACGTTTGTCGCTCGAAAAATAGAGTCTATATCATTCGCAAACAGAGTATCTAAGAGATTGCAACACGTTTCATAATCGGTCGGTAGCGTACTTTTTCGATTTTGAAGACAGTTTTCTTTATTTTTGTGATTTTAAATCCTTCCCATGTGAGGGTGATCGATGGTTGATCATGCCGATATGCAATTCCATATTGCTATGAAATACATTTTAGATTTTATTTAAAAATTGCTTATGAAAACTTCTTGAGCTTTCAATGAATATCACTCGGCATTTTCTGAAGGATCAGAGATAATATAAAAGTTACATGTACTAAAGAAATAGAGAAAGAACGAAAGAATGTATGGGAACGAAAATGAATACATATTTTCGAAGGAAAAAAGAACAGATATTAAATATTCAAAAATATCTTTTCTTTTTTTTTTCTTCATATATTCTTTTATTCTTTTCCTATTTTTTAATACATATAACTTTTACTTTATCTGTGATTCTTCTGAAAATACCGAGTGATACTCGTCGAAAGCTCGTAAATTTTTATAAATAATTTTTGAATAAAAGCTAAAATGTATTTCGTAGCAGTATGGTATTTTTTTATTAAAATATATCAATCCTTCATTATAATTTCCTTCGTTTATAAATGTATTCTTTTTAGAAAAAAATGACCGACACGGATATTCAACGAGTTCGAAGCGATGTAATACAATAGAAAAATATTCCATTCAAAATCGGTTTCTTTTATTTAGATCGAGAGAAACAATCGGCTGATACAGCAATATGAAAGTGATATATCTGCACTCCAAAGCCAATTAACTGGTAGTACAATTACCGATGATGAAAAGCAAAGGATTAACGCCGAACTTACACGGTTAAACGGATTACTACAAGATTATAAGGCTCTCAAGCGAGGAGCAGAAAATGAATTAGGTAAAATCAAAATTCTGAAAGTTCATAATGACTATAATAGCTAACGAAATCAAAAAAATATTTTCCTTTCTCACTTATAAATTCAAATCGAGATAGGACTATCTTATAAGATTGGAAGAAACAAAGAATATACCTGACATATCAACCAGATTCCGTTCATATTAATCGACTTTCAATAGAGTATTGGCATCGTTTCAGTGCGTTACCTTGTGTATTTTCGAAGTCATCTTATACAGTTGAAGCTTCATTTATATTCAAACTTGAGTTATGCAACTCATGTAATTTTTGTTTTCTAGCCACACTCGAACAACAACAACAACAACGACAAGAAGCCAACAAAGAAAAATGAATGTTTATTTCTTGTCGAAACAGTCTTATGGTACTCATTCGTAACAGTGCTTACGCGTTGTCTTTGTTTTTACTCACGCTTAATGCTGGTCTTGCTTGTTACTCGTTCTTTTTATTACCTGCTGATTTACTCGGTTAATACTCATCCATAATCATATCAATAGGTCTTGCTGGTTCTTTTATTAGCTGCTACTCCTACTCGATCAATATATATTACTTTTTTGTTGCAATTTAGTGAAATACTCATCTGTTTCGTTAAGGATGAACATGCTTGTAGGATTTTTTTTAAACAAATAAAAAACAACAAAAAAAATTTTTTCTTCTCTTTTTCATTTTCGTTTATTCTATTGTTTGTTGCAAACGAAACAATTGTCTTTTATTTCCTAATTCTGATTCCAAAAGTGACAATAATTATCAATCTACAATAAAGGAAAATAAATGTAATAGTCTTTCGAACCGACAATTGTTCTTTCAATAATTAATCGTGTTACATTAGCACAATTACGCCGTGTTATTTCTCGTGTAAAATCTTTTGTAATAATTCTTAATTCTTCATATCGAACTCTTAATTTGGACAGACGAGGTAGATGTGTTTTGGTTTCATTTAGAAACTGTTCGACGTAATAACCATTTGCCCATGAAATATCAAGGAAATTAAGATGAGGATATTCAACGATTTCATATGATTGAATAGTGTTGTCAGATAATTTCTCCACATCATATGACAGTGGTTTAATATTCATTACACAAAAGCTTTTAAGCTTTGGAAAAGCTTTACTTATTCGTAGAAAGAATTCATGTTCAAATGAAAACTCATCATGTACACATAAGTCGATGACATCCCTAGTGAATGTACTAAGCTCCCTAGTGAATGTACTGAGCTAAGGGTACCCATGTACTGAGAAAGCT